CCTCGGCCAAACCGCCTTCGGGTTTGTTGCTTCTCTCGTGGGATTTCTACTGAGAAAACCTTGACGCAGATTGAGAGTTCAGGTGTCATCGCCTGCCTTCGTGCCAATAGGTGACTACAAATTTTGTATTTTTGTATGAAATTTACATACTTTTATAAGAAAATTTCCATTTTTATGGGTTTTTGTTTTCTTATTTTGCTTTTAATTTATCTGGGTACGTGAGACACAAGATAATAATGCTCATTTTCTCTAGAACTAGTTTCAAACTACCAAATAAACTCCAAAACCAGCATGATTTGCCATAAAGATTGACATAATTAAGGCTTAAGATACAGTTAGATGAGACTTTCTCCTCAATGTTCCAGAGAAGTTCGTTACTTGGATCATAGCATTAGCCTTTGTGTTTACTATGCCTAGTTTTTGTATATGATTAACGGGGCAAATTGATTCTTGTGTCTTTGCTTTGTTGATGACTTTTGCATATTCTCATCTCATCCACGAATTTGCATTCAGTTCTGCTAATTAAAACAGTGGGGACCGCCTTGCATCAGCTCTTGATCCTAAGTCAAATAAAGGCTAGAGAGAAATACCCTTTTCGGGAAATACAACCACTTGCAAAGATCAGATTTTAATTTTTCTGCAATACAAACACTTTTTCCTGGAATATTTTAGGATGCTTTCAATTTTTTTAACACTTTCCTATAAAGATTTCACTCTTCTGTCTGAGATATACTTATTGGAAAAACGAAGCATCTGTCATGTGCATGCTGGATCATGTCTATTCTATTTGGGATGCAGGTCTGTAGGTCAAGTATTTTCTATTCTTCCTAAATGTCATCAAAATACTTGAGCAGAGAATTTCGTATGGAAAGGGCCAAGAAACAAATAGGAGAGTTTCTTTGTAATTTATATCGTGTAGTACCGAGAATAGGAATCTTCATTAGGCTTTGGGGTGCTCAGCTCCTTTTTAGCTTGAAATTGACTTGTTTTTTAGTTTCTGTTATGCTTCTTGTGCAGGAAAACCTGCTTGTTGATGTATTGTGACCCTGGCTGCTTGTACTGCATTTTGTTTGAATAATATTTCTTATTGATCTAAAAGGATAATAGTGCTCATCTTCACTTGTCAAAAGTTAAACAGGGTGATAGAGTTATTAAGATTGAATTTTTGAACAATGTTACATGGTTTTTCATATTTTTGGTAAATTTAGCAGACGATTTGCCCTAGGTTTTTGGGTTTACTGTCTGTTTCCCTTTTGTGTAGTGCAGAACTGGCAATTGAAGCTGCATGTGCTGCACTTCATGGTGGCATTTCAGTTGTGAGCTCTCCATTCATAAGTCTTTTTCCCCTTAAATTTCGTACAGGAAGTAGAAACTTATTTCCCTACAAGCTCTGTTATTAAATATGAAAGGAAAAACCTAAAGCTTTTAAACAACAATTAACATTCATACTTGCAACAGTTTGGAATTTCTGAAGGATATTAATAGCCCACCATGGCATGTCCCCAAGTACTTGAATCAAGTGTCCCTGGTGGTATTTAAATTCTTGCCAAGCCTAAGGTGCCTTGCATTTTGGAAAGTTGGGTTACAACTTCATATGGTGGGAGGAAATATCTGCTGCATTTTCCTGTTTTTGCAAGTGTTAGGGTTTTCTTATACAGCAGTGAGGGTAGTTTTGTAAGCATCGATATGTTGGTTGATATATAATGGTTGTCTCTCATTCTAAGGAGATAACCCACTTTTATTTTCAATTGCTCTTCCTTTTCTTCTATTTCTGTTGCTAAGCTGACAATAAGTACCACATTTTACCTTAAAAAAGTGACTAACTGCCAAAGAAGCGCAATCGTTGTACAAAAAATTTTTGGTGCATGTTTGCATTTTTTAGGAGATCTACAGTGTAGTAGTATACTTTCATTTTGATCACCAGTTATGGGTTTCTAATATTTTTATATTTCTTCATATATAGCTGGAGATTGTGATGTCGACCCCAGGTGTGTTTGAGGTTGTTTAAACTTTCAAACTATCCTGTTTCCTTATTAAAAATTGTCACTTAGATTGAGAGCTTATGCTCTTTTTTCCCCTTCCTGCACAGGTTCTACAGCAGCTAGTACATGACCATCCTACAAGAGTCCTAGGGGTAATCATCTTTTTCCTCCTTGATATCTTGACTTCTTTTTTTTCATTTTCTTGTGGGCTCTAAGTCATGGTGTTTGACACAGAATGCATTAAAGCTTATAAGTAATATTTGCAGATATGCTGTGTCTGCATTATTTAACATATATGGTTCAATGTGGAAGAAGAGCCATACACTGTCCAGTCCTTGGATGCTATATGAAATACCTGGTAGCATAAATGTTCAAGATGGGAAATCTTGGATTACAAGAAAACCCTTAATAGCTTCTCTTTTCAAATTTCTCTAAGTGACCAATGTGGTTGTATAACCTGAAATAAATCTTATATAAAGGTGTTTTTGATTGGCATTCGACATTCTAATTCCATATTACAAGAAGGGTGAGGTACAGGTTCGTATAAATTGAAATCGTTAAAAATTAGTTCTTCTGAATGTGCTTTGTGCCCTGCAGGTAGGAACTGTACTAAATGTTGAGGATGCCAAAAGGGCAATGATAGCAGGAGCCAAGTTTCTTATGAGTCCTGCTATGGTTAAGGTAAGCATTGAGAAAATTTTGGCCACTTTTTCTTTACTAAAACTTATTATCTATTAGTCATGAATTTCATTATTAGTTTCTCTCTCTCGTTTTGTTATTATTAGGAACAGTCTTTTGTTTTGCTTCTCTTTTTCTTTTTCGGCCTTGTAGAAATATATATAGGAGTATGATATTGTATTCTGAGGAGCAACCCTAATTCGACGTAGCCTCACTCTCTTTTCTTCTTTTTCTCTCCTCCAATCTCTCAACGTTTCTTACCTTCATCTAATCTAACTTCTAACTTGGCATGAGGGCAACAAAGCACATTTTAAGTTGGCATTACAGCACATCTACCATGTTCTTCTCTCCATTCTACCTTTTATTGGGTTATGTTTGGTTATGATTGCTAGTTTGTCTGGGGCCCCGAGACAAACCCTACAATCATTGGGAGGCAGGCTAGTCTAGCAAATAGCAAGATGGATACTAGGTATCTTGAGGAATCAAACCCCAGACTATGTGAAGCTCCCAACTTATCCTTGTAAAGGTCCCATTCCTTTTGGCATAGCAATTTCATATACATAAACTGGTGATTGGCAAGTCCAATGTGGCTGATCCTCCATCTTTACTTCTCTTTTATCCTCCAATCTCTCTACTTTTCTTATCTTCCTCACATGTAACTTCTACAATTTCCATTTATTATCAATTATGGTTTCTTTCCATGTTAAGGTATTAGGATATGTATCTAATATTGCTTGCTTTTAAAAACTCAAAAATGTGCATCAGGACATTTTGGTTGATTTTCAATATAGTGGAGTTCTATACATACCTGGTGTTATGACCCCAACAGAGGTAAATGCATTTCTTATACTAATTCTAATTCCTTGTAATCTCTGAGGCTTTAATGGATTTTCACTTAAACCTGTTTGACTTATTAGAATGTTTATTTCCTTGATGTCTACTATTGTCATTGTATGGAAAATCTAGATGCATTTTTATATCATCGTTTTCTGATTGGGGTTGCAAAAGGCTGATCACCTTTACCTCAAATTAATTTTCTATTTGCAGATATTGTCTGCATATGATGCTGGTGCCAAAATTGTCAAGGTGATTCTTGTCATTCATCTTTTTTATATTTTTTTAAACGCATTCATCTTTTTCTTGTAGAAGTTCATCAAGGTAGACATGTCATCTTCACTGGCTTTCTATACACCTATAAGGCTACGTTATTAAATTTATTATCCTGCTTTTACCAGGCCTTTATAATTTTCATTTAGGTATGTGAGCATGGCATGATGGTTTCTGGTTATCAGACACTTAATAATTATGAGTCGTACTTAAATTAAAAGTAGGAAAGTTTTAAATATCTAATTTGCTTTATGGAGCTTAATTGAAAAGTAGGAAAGTTATAAATATCTCCTGCATAACTTGTAGTCATTCTCTATTGAGTTAGCAGTTTGGACCTAGTTTTTATTTTTTAAACCATGAACTTTCATTGGTTATTGGTGCATTTTACTGGTGCATATGTTGCTTTTACCCAACATAATTCATTATGTATACATTTCAAGTTGCATCTGCATGTAGTTTTAAATCTAAAGTGATTAGATTGTTGTTAACTGATTATTGGCTGGTTCAGTTCAATTTCTTATGCATGTTTGTTCCGGTCCAGGCATGACTGAGGGGTTCTAACTCTGTCTTATGTGGTAATCAGGTTTATCCTGTTTCTGCATTAGGTGGCTCACAATATATATCAGCTATCAAGAAGCCTTTTCCCCATATCTCAATGGTTGCTTCTCAAGGCATAACAACAGGTTGGTAATTGACTCTCCTGTTCCCTTTAAAGCTCCAGTGCTGCCTTCACTTTGTGTTACTACTGGGAAGATATTTAGTTTACTCCTATTTTTCAGGTTTAGTTCAACATGTTTTTGAAGAAAGATATGATTCTTTGGCTTTGAGCATCAGAGCATGTACATCTGACTTATGTAGATTCTTTGTTCTTCTAATTGATACAGATTCAGTTGGGGAGTATATTGCTCAGGGAGCATCGTCGGTTGTTTTATCAGATGCCATATTTGATAAAGAAGCAATGGGTCAAAAAAATTTCACTAAAATCTATCAACTTGCAAATGCCGCAGCTTTGCATGGCAATGAAGCTGTAGACCGGTTAGATATTGTGCTCTGTTTCGTAGTGATTTTTTTTTACTTATGGAGGATGTTTATTCATTACATTGCTAATGTTACTATGATATTGTTTTCCCTGTTTATCTTTGACTAAAAATTTACTGCTACAATTTAGTTTTGAAACTTCTCGAGTAGATAAAACCTATGTGGCTTTTGTTCTGGTTAAATGCTGGCAACTGATGTTGGCAGACCACATCTTTTACATTGACATTTCAGTAGGCAAACCAGGGCTCCCTTGTTGGATTTGGATTCGAGTGGGTGTGTCCTTGGAGGTACTTTTTGTTGTTGGCAAAGGGTTTGTTAGGATCCAAAAGCAGCTGGTTACTCTTGGAGGTGTGCTGTTTTGGCTGTTACGTTGTGTGTTTGGTTTGTATATACAGTGGTTCTTTAGGGCAACAAGGAATAATTGAAGTTTCTCTGGGATAAGATTAAATGTTTAGCTTCTTCTTGGACTTCTTTGCCAAACATTTTTAATGACCTTCCTTTCTTATTGTGTGTTGAGTACATTATGTGTTTTGTTTGATGTTAAGGAACTAATTTTGATGAACTTATCATCCGTCTTTAGGAACTTTCTTCTATTTTTGTTGATAAAGTTTGCCTTTATCATATTAAAAAGTTTGAAATACTTCAAAGTGGATTAGTCTTGGATGGTCAATTACAATTTGGGGATTAGCCTTAGATGGTAAATTACAATTTGGGGCCCATTTACACTTGATCCCCACACTTCTGGCTTTGCCTATCTTATTATCCCTAGAGTTAATTAACAGTCTCAAACCCAAATCGAGATTTCCATCAATATTAACAGTCTAAAATCCAAATTGGACTTGATTGCAAGCCTTAATAAACTACAGGGATACACAGGGATACGACTGAATTGAAAGTATAGGGACCAATATGGAGAATGGCCCAAAATACATGAACTAATATTGTAGTTTGGCCGTCTTACATATGACCTCCAATAATGCTCTTCCCCCTCCCTGTTGCTCACACAGACACGTATATAAGTTGCACCCATCCATTTAACTGTATATCTGCAAATAATTTAACTGTATATCTGCAAAATTTGTAACCCACATTGATGGATAGTGATCCAAAGATCTTCTACTAACTTGGAGTATGGATTGTTGTCTTTAAAAATAGTACTCAAAGCTGACACTTACTAATTAGAAAAATCATTAATCAGTCTTGTCTTAATCCTCCAATAGGTATGTGGCATCGGCGGAATATTCTCTTTTTCAGTCTAACAAAATCCATATTATCTCATCATTTGACTTCTCTCTGATTCCCCACTCTGATCCCTTACTCTCATTTACATCCTTATGTATCTTTAGATTTTAGTCAAGTACTGAATTGAATAAAAAATAGAAAATTAAAAGGTCTGAAATCTATGCAGGGTTCAGCAATATACTTCCAAATGATCTATATTTCTCCTGAGTTCACTGTTTTTCTTAGCGCTCTGACTGCTCCTGTTGTCATGCAGGATGAAAAAGTTCAGGCTAAACCATTTGTAATAGGTGTAGTAAAATCTTATACAAATGTAGTTTGGAAAATGCTTTGACAGTGCTGGACATGAACTAGCAAACTGGTAAAGTCAGGTTTTCACTTTTTTGCTTATTTTTGTTCTCCTTTTTATACGTTGGGTTCCATGTAACATATTATGCACTCTTAGATCGATAAAGAATTTAGTCTAAGTTTATTTTGAATGTGTACTTCAAGCAATTGAAACCGTCGTAGTAGTTTGTTGAACTATTAAGCATCATGAACCTGTTCATGTATTTGTTATTACATTATCAATATTAATCTGACATCACTTGCGCTGGGAAACTGAAAAGTTGACCTTTCAGTACTCAATAGGCCAGAGCTCAAAGGCATGATTCATTTGTAGAGCATGGAGGAAGAAGAAAGTGAGCCTGTACAATCCCGTATTTGGTCAGTTTCTCATCTTTATATGCATTTAATCTAACTCTGGGTTCCAATATATTGGGGTTACTTTGGTTGCAATTTCCTAATATGCAAATGGAGTTTAATATTAGCTGCTTTGGAATTCATATACGAGGAGATTGTTTGAAGTTTTCATTTCGTAGTTATGTCTGTCTTTTGCTCTTTTACATATTTGTTTTAATGCTTCTCTTTGGCAGGATGACCAAATTTTGTAGAGATGCTTTGAAGTTTCAGCCAGGAGTGAGAATCATTTGACAAGGAAGAAAATTGAAGTAATTTTTGCTTTGAGGTCTAGTAATTAACAAGCTTTAACACATGCCAGCAGGCTCCATAATGGATGGTCTCCAGGACACAAAATGAGTTATTGGAGTATGGTTTTGTTTGCCGTATTTTAGTTCTATAAGAAAGAGTATTTTTCTATACCAAAGTAGACATTTTCACAATGTGTTATTTTAAATTACTCTAATGTATGGAGAGGGGGATCAAATTTATTATTGTTCTTTTTTCTTTTCTTTTTTTTGCTAAGAATTGAATGCACTTCCCTACACTTATTGGCTAATGTGCTACTATGGAAACCGATGCCAAAGAATGCCGTCACCAAAACTTGCAGGATTTTGCTAAGCTTCCAAGCTAAATTGAAAATGCAAAGTTATCACCAACCTGGTAAACTGTAAGGCATGCTTTGTTTTGTAACTGGATTACTTGTGTGTGTACGTATATTCTCTAGACATCAATTTGCTGCATGTTTTTGTTGAAACAAGTATAAATCTATCCTATTGATCCTTGAGAATTTAGTATAAATCCTGTCACTTTGAGAGTCTGCTTCAAGTGGGTAGTGACAACTTTGTTTCCGTTATTACTTTTTTTGGTCGAACAATCTTGTTACTTTGCAGACATGGATTTAGCCAAGTTGAATAAAGCGGATGTGCTTTTTACTCTGCATCCGAGTTCGAATCCCCTTTGATAATTTAGATTAAATTAAAGTCTAGTGTCATTTGTATTTAAAAATTAAAAAGAAAAAAGAAAAAAACAAGTAAGAATCGCTTGGGTGTCCAGAGATATTTTTGAGCGTTTAGAGACTTTACCATTTCTGAAAGGGGAAGTCAGCAACACGCTCACACGCGAGTCTCAACTCAACACGGCACGCTCACAATCCCTTTTCTGCGAAGCAAACATAACAAACAAACAAATCCCCCAATTTCACTTCAACAATCAATACCCTCTCTCTCTCTCTCTCTCTCTCTCTCTCTCTCTCATAATCTGAAATCTCCATTTTCCCGACCGAATAGCGATGGTTCCGCCGGCCGGTCCAACCCCAGCGAACCCGCAACTGATTCAGCAGTTCCTGAGCTCAGTCCTCTCGCAGCGCGGCCCCTCGTCCCTCCCTTACTCCGAAGACACCAAATGGCACATCCGCAATCACCTCGTCTCTCTCACCACCGCCTACCCCTCCCTCGACCCCAAAACGGCGACGTTCACCCACAACGACGGTCGCTCCGTCAACCTCCTCCAGGCCGAGGGCACCGTCCCCATGTTGTTTCACGGCGTCACCTACAACATCCCCGTCATCATCTGGCTCATGGAGTCCTACCCCCGCCAGCCGCCTGTCGTCTACGTCAACCCCACGCGCGACATGATCATCAAGCGCCCTCACGAACACGTTAATCCCTCTGGTTTGGTCTCAATCCCTTACCTGCACAATTGGGTCTACCCGAGCTCCAATCTTGTCGAGCTCGCCAAGAATCTCAGCGCTGTCTTTGGTCAAGACCCGCCTCTGTTCTCTCAGCGCAGGCCCAATCCCAATCCAAACCCAAACCCTAACCCTAATCTGGGTCATTCCTCGTCAGCGATTTCGAATTCGGGTTATTCCAGTTATTCGGGCTATTCGGGATCTTCGGGCTCGGTTACTCCTGCCCGCCCCGCGATCCCCCCGAGGGCGTACCCACCGTCCCCGTATGGAAGCAGCGGGTCGTTTTCTCGGGTTCAGACCGAGGATCCGAACGAGGTTTTCAAGCGAAACGCGATCAGTAAGCTTGTGGAGATCGTGCACGGTGACGTGGCCGGGTTGAGGAAGACGAGGGAGGCAGAAATGGAAGGCTTGTTCAATGCGCAGGCCGAGCTGAGACAGCGGTCTGAGCATCTTAACAAAGGCTTGAAGGAGATGGGGGACGAGAAGGAGGGTTTGGAGCAGCAATTGCAGATGGTGTTGATGAATTCAGAAGTTTTGGAGGGGTGGCTGAGAGAGAATGAGGGGAAAGCTAGGGGCAGGTTGAAGGGTGTCGATGTGGACGATGCATTTGAATGCGTGGATGTGCTTTCAAAGCAAATGTTGGATTGTACGGCCTCTGATTTGGCTATAGAAGATGTTGTGTATTCCTTAGATAAGGCATTGCAAGATGGGGCAATACCCATTGATGAGTACTTGAAGAATGTGAGGTCTTTGTCGCGCAAGCAGTTCTATGATCGCGCTACGGCGGCGAAAGTCAGGGCTACCCAAATGCAATCACAGGTTGCAAACAGGGCTGTCGGAATGCAATCACAGGTTGCAAACAGGGCTGTCGGAATGCAATCACAGGTTGCAAACAGGGCTGTCGGAATGCAATCACAGGTTGCAAACAGGGCTGTCGGAATGCAATCACAGGTTGCAAACAGGGCTGTCGGAATGCAATCACAGGTTGCAAACAGGGCTGTCGGAATGCAATCACAGGTTGCAAACAGGGCTGTCGGAATGCAATCACAGGTTGCAAACAGGGCTGTCGGAATGCAATCACAGGTTGCAAACAGGGCTGTCGGAATGCAATCACAGGTTGCAAACAGGGCTGTCGGAATGCAATCACAGGTTGCAAACAGGGCTGTCGGAATGCAATCACAGGTTGCAAACAGGGCTGTCGGAATGCAATCACAGGTTGCAAACAGGGCTGTCGGAATGCAATCACAGGTTGCAAACAGGGCTGTCGGAATGCAATCACAGGTTGCAAACAGGGCTGTCGGAATGCAATCACAGGTTGCAAACAGGGCTGTCGGAATGCAATCACAGGTTGCAAACAAGGATGTCGAAATGCAATCACAGGTTGCAAATATGGCTTCCAGGCTTTCACATTATGTTTCCTCATAGTACATTCCTGGTTGTGAGTGTTGGTGGATCGACTGGCTGCATATTCGGGCTCCATTTCTCCGCCGCACCAGTGAATCAATGGATCATTATAGTAGAAATGATATAGTTTCTAGTTATATTCCTGTAAAAAAAAATATGTCAATGGTTTCTTTTCTATTTTTTCTGTATTGTTTTTTCACAATTTTTCTTTAGAGACCGTTTCTCTGGGAAATGTGTTGTTCAATAAGTATGATATGAAAACTCATTTTTGCTCCAGATTTATATAAGAATATCAGATATAGTCATTACTCCTGGATTCTTACTTCTTTTATGATTTGTTTTTTGGCTTAACCCTTTTCCGAGGTTCAATTGTGAAAGTTTTTGTATAGCATTAGCCTGTGTGTTTACTATCCCTAGTTTTTGTATATGATTAACTGGTTCTCTGATGTGATTCTTTCAGGACAGGGCAACAAGACAAAGGGACAGTTTATCTCCTTTTCTTTTTGTCATTATTATGTAGGACGTGTTTAGCATGCTAATGGACAAGAAAACTTTTCATAAGTTAATTTGTCATTCAATATGTGCAAAGTTGAGAATCTTATGTCTTTGCTTTACTGATGACTTTTGCATATTCCCATCAGCTAATTTGCATACAGTTCTGCTAATTAAAACAGTGTGGACTGCTTTGCATTGCATCAGTGGTTGTTCCTAAATGAAATAAAGGCGAGAGTGAAATATCCTTTTCCGGAAATACAACCACTTGCAACTTTTTCCAGGAATACCTTACCCGGTGGTTTGCTCTTCTCTTCTATGTGATGAGCAGATATTGCTAAGGGTTGCATGAAGGAAAAGTTCTTTGGGCTTGCATCGTGATAACTGTTTTTTGGGTCTACATTAGTTAAAACTTAAACCATATAGAACACCTTTGTAGTTATATTTAGCTAATTTCATTTCCAGTAGTGAAAGTTTACTCCTATTTATCTCATCTAGTTCATGATGTTCTTGAAGAAAGATATGATTTATTGGCTTTGAGCATCAGACCATGTTACTTATGTCGATACTTTGTTCTTCTAATTGATACAGATTCTGTTGGGGAATATATTGCTTAGGGAGCATCATCAGTTGTTTTATAAGATGCCATATTTGATAAAGAAGCAATGGGTCCAAAAAAAAAGGTATCAACTTGCACATGCCGCAGCTTTCCATGGCAATGAAGCTGTAGTCCGGTTAGAAATTGTACTCTATTTCATAATGATGTTTTTTTTACTTATGTAGGATGTTTATTCATAACATTGTTAATGTTACTAGGTGTTTGGAATTTGGATTCAAGCGGGTGTGTCCTAGGAGCTACTTTTTGTTGTTGACAAAGGGCTATTTGTTAGGAGCCAGAAAAAGCTGGTTACTCTTGGAGGTGGGCGGTTTTGACTATTACGTTGTGTGTTAGATTTGGATGGACTACAGTGGTTATTTAGGGAAACAAGGAAGAATTGAAGTTACTCTGGGCTAGGATTAAGCTTTTAGCTTCTTCTTGGACTTCTTTGCCGAAGAATTTTAATGGCCTTCCTTTCTTTTTGTGTATTGAGTATATTAAGTGTTAAAGCCAAATCGAGATTTCCATCAATATTAACAGTCTCTTATCCAAATTGGACTTAGTTGCAAGCCACAATTAACTACAGGGATACGACTGAATTGAATTGAAATTATGGGGACCAAAATGGAGAATGGCCCAAAGTACATGTTGCATATGACCTCCAATAATGCTCTTCTCCCGCTCCCCTTTTTCACACACATAAAAGTTGCACCCATGCATTTAACTGTATATCTGCAAAATTCGTAACCCACATTGATAGTGATACAATGATTCTCTACTAACTTGCCGTATGGATTTTTGTCTTTAAAAACGTCAAAGTTTAAACTTACTAATTAGAAAAATCAGTAATCATTCTTATCTTAATCATCCCATAGGTATTTGGCATGTCGGATTAATATTCCTCTTTTTCAGTCTATCAAAATCCATATTATCTCTTCATATAAAATTTTTATTTTTATTTTAAAAAATTCATATTATCAAATCATTTCACTTCTCTGATCCCCCACTCTGTTCCCTGATTCTCAGTTACATCCTTATGTATCCTTAGATAGTCAAGCATTGAATTGAAGAAAAAAAAAAAATTAAAGAGATTTTCTATTTAAATCCCGCACTTCTTTTTGTTCACCCCAATACTTATATTATTAAGTTGTAAGTTTTATTATTGAGTAAAAAGACAAAAAAGGTTATCCAACTTAATAATTAACCCTAGTACATCTATACACACACCTCACCACTCTTCATATTAATTAAGTTTTAGAAAAATACAAATTCCCCTACATCCTATTTAAATTGGATCAGGACAGAGATAAAGTGTAAATTGGATCAGATCAGGACAAACTCCTCTACTTGGAGAGAGGTAAAGTTGTTCTCTTTCTCTAGAAAGTATTAAATTTCGGGTTTGGGTTTCCATTTGTTTGTGTTTTTTTCTGCTGGGAACAAAGAAAATTGTGGGGTTTTATAGAAAATTTCTTTTATTTCTTATTTTTTTTTCAGTTTGGGGTTATTTAAGGGTAGTTTGGGAAGATAGTGGGGTTTTCTTAGAAATTGTGAAAATTTAAATTAAAAGATGGGGTGAACTAAGAGAAGTGTGGGGTTTAAATAAAAAATCTCAAATTAAAAGGTCCGAAATCTATGCAAGGGTCAGCAGTATACTTCCAAATTATCTATATTTCTCCTGATCTCACTGTTTGTCTTACCTCTCTGACTGCCTTTGTTGTCATGCAGGGCGAAAAAGTTGAGGCCAAACCAATTGTAATAGGTGAAGTAAATTTTTGTACCAATGAAGCACGAAAAATGCTTTTGACAGTGCTGGACATAAACTAGCAAACTGGTAAAGTCGGGTTCTTTTCCCTCTTTTTACACGTTGGCTTCCATGTAACATATTATGCACCCTTAGCTGTCCAAAATAGGACAGCTGCCCAATTTCTTAGTTTATTGAATGTTTGAAATACCTATGTTGCCCATTTAGCATAGATTTTATTAAGAAACCCATAAATCTCCAGCTGTCCAATTTAAAGTAGATATCGGAATTTATCAGCAGAGCCGCTGGACACCTAGTTCCCGGCTGCTGCCAAACACAAACCGCCAGCTTGTGCCCCTTGAGGAACCCACTGTGCGACAACTTCTTCTCACACTCCCAAAAGTTGACAAGCTCATCGGAGGACCCGCAGTACACTATCTTTCCCCGAAGAGGAAGCGGGAAGTGGAGAAGGGTGAAGCCGGGGAAGAGGGCGCAGTTCATGATGACAAAGAGGGTGCTCCAAGAAACAATGTCGCCGGGTGATCTCTTCTTGTGACCAACACCCTTGGGTCCCTTCATAGTTTGGGCCCGCTGCTGTGGAAGCCAGAGAGAAACAAACCCAAGAAAAAATCAGGACAGAGAATCTTAGCTCGATCCTATCTGGTTTGGATGCAGCCTGAACATCCATATTTGTAGGGACATCACAACTTTAAGCGGATGGTTCCAGAGAATTATTTTCGAACCCGGCTCAGTAAGATAGAGCAAACAAGAATCGCTTCCCATGTTGCCTTTATTTGCTGGAACATATGGAAAACTCGCTGCAAGGCAGTCATTGAAGGTCGAGTGACACTGACATCCCCAATGGAAGTCATCTACGCAACTTCCAATGCTGTCTCTGAGTTCATGGCAGCAAAACCTGCTTCTTTGGATGCTAGACTCCGTTCTATCTCAACAAACCAGGTGAATCGAACTTGGTCTCCCCCAACGGCCCCTAAGGTTAAAATTAATATGGATGCAGCTTGGTCTGCTAGTTCAAAATGTGGAGGCATTGGTTTGGTTGCCCAGGACCACTTGGGGTCGTTCCATGTGGCTAAAGCGTGTCCTTGCAAGGCGTGCTCCTTTGCTATTGAACATCAGTTCCAAAATGTTCATTATGAGAAGGATTGTAGAGAGGTGACCCGGGGATTAGAAGGTGATATATCGTGTGGTTGGTGGGAGTTGTAACCCTTTCCTTTGCAGGATTTCGGAATCAACTTGGCCATCCAAATTTCATTGATGCTAGTTGGTCTTGGTGTGCAAGAAGTGCTAATAAAGTTGCAGTTCATATTGTGAAAATTTTGTGTGCGAGGATGAGCCTTCCTCACTGGTGCATGTTTTCAACAAGGATGGCCCTCCTTGTCCCCATCCCTAGTGGAGTGGCTGCAGTCTGCAAGGAGGATGTTTGGTGTCTTTAATGTTGGGCGACGTCTTTGTTTGGTTTCTTTGCAGTTTGCTGTGCTAGCTTATGTTTGTCGCTTGTTAGTCCTAGTTCTGTTTTGGGACTTTCGTGTCAGTATGTTTTTCGTGGGCTCTGCCCTTTTAATGAAAAGTCATGACTCATGTTCGACCCAAAAAAAAGGGAAGAAATTTTTTCTCTGAGCTCTAGTAATTAGCAAGCTTAACACATAAAAGCAGGCTTCAAATTTACTGGTCTCCAGGACACAAAATGAGTTATAGGAGTACACTTGTCAACCATTGAGTGATTTTTTTATAATTTTGTTTATTTTGCAAAGAATTGAGTTTACTTTTGTATATATATATATATAAACACATGGAGCTTCAGTTGAGGGATTCCTGAAATAAACTTATTTGAGAGACACCCTTGTAGGGTTCACTCTGTATTGTATTTCATTAATCCAAACCATCTATTTTGTAGATACTCATTCAAAGATAATTTCTACAAAGATCATTTGAATCCGATATTATTTGACCATATTAAAATTTTAGTATAATCAGTCTACAGACTCCAGCATACAATCAATTAAACATCAAAACAAAAAGCATGACTTGGTCCATCAATTAAAGACAGAAATTAAAAATCAAAGTGCATGAAATATATATGTCATAGAATTCATTAATTGAAGTGCTGAACAAGAGTATGGTTTAACAGAACACCTCCTGCAACGTCCTTCAGAAACTTTGTCTTGATTTTCTTGAGTGTGGCTACAGCTTCTTTCATACTTATCCTCTCTTCTGGTGATTCTGCACAGCAAGCGAGAGCTAATCTCATAATGGATGATAAGCAATCCCTCTTGCTCACAAAATCATCATCTTCCTGCTCTGTCCCAAGTAAATTACCATCCACAACTCCATCTTTCATTGCATCTGGTAATAGCGATTTTGTAATCCATTGCTTGAAGTTCATCTCCCCAACAAACATCTCATCTGTTGGCTTCCTTCTTGTGAATGTTTCCATCACTATAATTCCAAAACTGTAAACATCCCCTCTTGTTGAAACTATTCCTTCCATTCCATACTCTGCAATACAAATTATATTTGAATTATACTTATGTGTGTGTGAAATATATTGTATTCATTTTTTTTTACAAGCGATAGTCTAAACTACATGGAAGAAGGATTTCTCTTTCACACACACAACTATGATGCTATGGGAGTTCAAACCTGAGATCTCTGGTCTGCAAGTCAATGCCATTTTCCACTAGGCTAGACCTCGTGGGCATATTATATTCATTTGTATGATGAAAAGAAAATTATAATTTAAGTTCTTCATAATCAAGGACAACATTATAAAATTGAAAAATATTAAACTAGCAAGTACATCACCTGGAGCCATATACCC